TAAAACACTAAGAGGCCATTTTGCATTGATTCACATTGAGTACTTCTCTGGATTGCCAATTTACTAGTCTTTCATAATCTAGAATTCAAATTTTTTCTTGTTTCTTTTTTGTCTTTTTGGGTCTGGGGTTTGAATTCAAGGCCTGGGCATTGTTCCTGAGCTTTTGTGCTCAAGGCTAGCACTGGACCACTTGAGTAACAGTTCTACTTCTGTGTGTGGGTTTTTTTTGTAGTTTATTGGAGATAAGAGTCTTACGGCTTTCTTGTCCAGGCTGTCTTTAACTGTAATCCTCAGATTTCAGTTTCTTGTATAGCTAAGATTACAGGTGTGAGCTATTAGTGATTGGCTAGTGTTCAAATTTCTGAAGTAATAGGCTCATTGATCCTGGTGTTAATGTGTGTTGTAGTTCTCAATAGTGGTCCCTATCATTGTCCCAGGTTGTGGTATTTAGAACCTTAAAAAATCAGTGTTCCAGATAACAAAGATGGTTATGTAACAGGAAATTGATGTTTCTTTCTAAATAAATGATATTAGCTAGAGCCAACATTATTTAAGAAGTAGGCATGGTTTCCCTCATTTGTAATAATTAAAATGTGCTTATAAATCTACAAGTAACCCCAATGGATAGTGAATGACAAATAATTTCAGTTGGACATGATTAAACAACACTCTAAACATTTACACAGTGAGATCAAAGGAGGTTATTCTTAGGAGAAGATCACAAGGGCTCAATAGCTATGTGCATATGATCATAGAAAATGATGTTTATTGAAATGAATTCCAAGAAATGGAAATGAGACTTTTAATTGTACTGTTTTCAGTTCTTTTTTCTTCTTTTTTTTCTCTTTCGTTGCTGTTTTTTTATTTCTGTACCCTCTGTCTTGTATATAAGTGTATCTGATTTGGGGGGAAGGGAAGGGGAAGCAGAGAAATGGTGGGACAATGGGTGAATCAATTCAGCAGTGAAACCCACTAGACACGATGTTGGAAATTAGCTTTATAACTTGAGGAGAGGGAAGTCAAGAGGGGAAAAGGGGGGGGAATGAGGGGGGAGTGACACTAGTCAAAAAGAAATACACTCATTACCTGAATTATGTAAGTGTAACTCCTCTGTATATCACTTTTACAATAATTTTAAATTAAAAAAGAGAAGTAGGTGTAATAGGAGTATCTGTTGAAAATACAGACTAGAGGTGTCCAGGCAGGGCAGGAGAAGATGAAACCTCAGATAAGGGTCTATATGAGCTCCTAAAACTATCTGAAGAACCTACAGAGTCAATCAAAACCTGCCCTATGTTCTTGATATTTATGGTTCCCAAGATAATTCTAAAACATCCATTTAAATACTCTGTGGCTTGTATAATCATCTTTCTGGTATCATCTTCATCTACAAGAAGATAAAGTGAACCATGGTCTTCAGATGGGGTAAGAAGGATGGAGCAAATGCTAAGGGGAAGAGGATATATATATATATTGCTAGAAAATGTGTTGCTATTGTGATGATCTGGACTGTGTTAAAAAGTTTGGTTGCCAGCCTGTAGCACTTACTGGGAGGTAATGGAATCTTTAGGGAGAGGAAGGAGGAAGTTAGGTCATTGAAGGAGATTGTGGGACTCTGGCCTCTTTTTCTGTCTCCCCTTGTCTCTTTCTGTCTCTATCTCTCTGTGTCTCTGTGTCCATCTCTGTCTCTCTCCCTCTTTCTCCTTCCTCCCTTCAGGGAGAACACAGCTTTATTCCACTATGTACTCACTGTCATGGTGTTAGGATGTTTGCTTTGCAACAGGCCCCAAAACAATGGATCCATCTAACTGTGAATTGGAACCTACGAAGCTGTAACCCAAATAAATCTTTCTTCCTTTTAGGTTGATTACTTCATATATTTTGTCCACAGCCACATAATGCTTGTTGACACATGTCATGTTTCACATACCACAAAGCAATTTCCTTGAATGCAGTATGGGTGATGATGGAGATGGCACTATTCCAGGATAGCTTGGGAGATGGAAGAGCTCACTGCTGTTGAATTTTTGAAGCTCACTGCTGAATATTTCTAAGGAAATATCTGTGCTGGGCCTTACGAATTGATAGGAAACGCTTCATGGAAGAAGTTTTTATATACCTTAAGCCAAAACATGAAAATATGTTCTTTATTTCAAAGGGAAATAGGGAGCCCACATTGAAGATGCCTTTTTCTGGATATTCAATTAATCTAATTCCAAATTTCGATTTTGGATGTCAATAAGATGGCCACCAGGTGGCAGCACAAACATAGAAATTGTGTATCTCAGAAACAAGTTCATTCATGAATAAGGTTTATAAATTTGTCCAGCTCTCAAGAATATTGTCAAGTCCGGTGGTCTGAGGTTATATAGGGTGTAGCTGCGTCCCTATTATGTCTGCAGAGGACTGTGCTGGGACTCATAGGGTCTGGCTTGAGGAGAGAGATCAAAGATTAGTCCCATCTGTCAAAGTGTTTGAGGAATCTGGAGCAGCAGGAAGCCACGTAGGAAAAGGCATCCAAAGGCAACACTGTCCCTGCCGCAGGGGCATTTTCTGCCTGTGGGATGTCTGTTTGACACAGCAAATAGCAGTGACATTACCAGTCCCCTGGAGTCACAGGGTCTTAGGATGAGATCTTGGGACAAGATGTCATAGATCAGAATCCAGTCTCTGTGCTGTGCATGCTGTGACACACGCTCCAAATTCCCCTTGCAGGCTAAAGGACTTATTCCCATAGCTGCTGGCCAGTGTTGCCTACAGCCTGGATTTGGGGCGAATTTCCACTCAGTGACGAAAGCGACCCTGAAGCAGTCTGCATTCTCATGGTTGGCATGGATTGAATGATTGCTTTATGAGGGAACTATACAAATCCGACTCCCTGGCTCCAATTCAGCAGGACCATCCCAATTGCACAGTTCCCCAGTAGGGTTGTCTGGAGTTGCTGAGGCTAAAGCCACAGTTCAGTTTCTTCCTTTACCCAGATAGGCTCCTTTCTTCCCCTCACAAGGGTTTGTTAGGGGCACATTCCCCAATAACCTTGCTACACTTCCCAGCTCTGCCTCCATGTCAGCTTCCCTGGGAAACCTAAACTCATCTTTCCTTTACTTGTGGGGGTACTGAGGCGATTTTGAGGCTGGTATTTACACACACACACACAAAGAGTTGTATCTTTGAGAGTCCTCAAAGGTATGCTTAACATGTACTGGGTAAGTCTCCTTGGGCAAAGATTTGGTTTTCCCCTCCATTATATCCTTAGAGCTTCCACACAGCAGGTATTGAATAGATATATGTTCAATGATCAAACATATGAACATTGCTTATTGTCTAATACTTCAGAAGCTGAAGAAAATAAGCAATGGCCAACTTTTGTGTGTGTGTGTGTGTGTGTGTGTGTGTGTGTGTGTGTGTGTGTATGTGTGTGGTCCTGAGGCTTGCTTGGACTCAGGGGTACTGCGCCTGAGCTGTTTTTGCTCAAGTCCAGCGCTCTACCACTCAAGACAGCTTCACTTCCGGTTTTCTGGTGGTTAATCGGAGGTTAAGAGTCTCAGAGACTTTCCTTCCTTGACTGGCATTGAACCTGGATCTTCAGCTCTCAGACTGCTGAGTAGCTAGGATTGAGTAGCTAGTGTGAACCACCACTGAGCAGCATGGCCATACATTAAGTGACTGATAACGACGTTTGTGCTTAGGTCCTGCAGGGTAAAATCTTTTTTCACTTTTAGACAGTTATCTCTATTTTACAAGCACCACTGGGAAGTTGGCTCCAGCCAATTTGTTAGTTCTTATAAATGGCAAGGGAAAACTGGCAATTCGACACAGACTGAATACCATGCTCTCTCCAATCACTTTGGGATATGAGCTGATGTAAATAATTAAGAAAATGAACCAGGAGCTTGGGATGTAGTTCAGTGCTAGTATACTAACTTAGCACTCACAAGCCTCTGAGTCTCTTCCCCAAGAGTGCAAAATAAATCACAATAAAATAGTATAATTAGGGGCCTCTGCAAATTCTAGAGAATGGTACTGGAATAGTTCAAAGCTGCTTGCCCACTAGTTAAGGCACAATCTGGTTTATGTCTTTCCCAAGGTTTCTTTCCTCTCTTCTTCTTTTCTTCTTTTTTTTCTCTTCTTTTTCCTCTCTCCTTTCTTCCATTCCTATGTTTTCTTTCTTTCCTTCCTTCTTCTCTTTCTTCTTCCTTTTATTTCATTCTTTTCTTTCTCTTTCCCTCCCTCCCTCCCTTCCTTGCTCTTTCTTCCCTTCTTTCCTTTCTTTCTTCTTCTTTCTTTCTTCCTTCCTTCCTATCTTTCTTTCTTTCTTGGAAATTAAACTCCAGATCTCATGCTTGCCAGGCACTCCACCACTTGAGCCATGCCCCTGTCTTTTTGTTTTTCAGATAAGCTCTCATTCTTCAGCTTGATCCATCCTTGGACAGAGATGCATCTACCTCTGCCTCCTGAGTAATTGGGATTATAATCATGCTCCACCATGTCCAGTCAATATTCCAAGTTTTCTACAATGGGTTGTCTGATTGTTAATAAAAACATTGCTCCATTTTTATCTAAGTCTCTCCCTGGATAAAAATGTTTGACCCTTTGTTTTTCTATTTCTTGAGAAAGAATATATGGTTAATTGGAGTTATGAGATTGGTCTATTTAAGCATTTCAGGGTCAGGAGTTTTGCTGCTAGAGAGAGAAGGTACTGTTAATGCAAGGATATGGCAACTGTGACTCCCTTGGCTAAAACATATGAAGAGTGCCTCCCACTGGACATTTGTATAAGTGCGTGCCTTGTAAGCAGACAAATATTAACAGTTTACGTTACAAAGATGGTTTAAAGCAAATGAAATAATAACAAAAAGCAAGTGAATACATTTTATTTTAAAACTAAAATATAAGAAGTAAGTCCTGCATAATTTGGGGAGGAAAGAGAAAGCCACATTGCTCTGTGAGACTTTATTTTACTAAGTTTTTAAAGGTTCACAAGATCCACATGTGAGGCACTAGGTTCCATCTCCAGCACTGCAAAAGTAAAAAAACAAGTAAAGAATGCACAGTAGATATTCTTTTTAAGATCCATAATGTTCAAAGAGAAGATATTTCCTGTATCAAAGAGAGGAAAAAACAATGTTAGGAATAAAAAGTATGCTGTGCATAAGACAGCCTCCTTACTTCCTTCTTTCTCCTTCTCATCCCTGCCTCCCTACTATCTTTTCTTTCTTTCTCTGTCTTCCTTCTTTCTCTCTATCCTCTTTTTCTCTTTTCTTTCCCTCCCTCCCTCCCTCCCTCCCT